AAGGGGGAGGCCACTAGGACTAGCCTAACGTAGAGGAAAGAAATCTGGAGCGAATGAAAATTGCCTTCGCAGCTCGGATTGCCTCTTCCCCTTCAGAGCCAAGCACCAAAACAGAGCAAATCCATGAATCTGACGCCAAGTGTCCGACTGGTTCCCCCGGAGCCACACTGCGCCCTAAGTGCTATAACAGTTTGGTTTCATAGAAGAAAATTGGGCAAACAAATCAAAACAAAATCTGAAAAAAAAGAACGAAACGATAAGCGACAGCGTGAAAGAAAAGCACTTCTGTTCCAAGACATCAAAAGCTAGGAAGAAAAGCAAAAAGTTGGTAGCTATTCTGAGAATGCATTCAAGAAACCTCATTGAATCCATAAAAAACTTCGTCACAGAAAGCACATGAATGGACGAAAACGTCGCAGGTATCAATCAAAAGGAGGGAATCAATATGGAAATGCACTTTCAATTAGATGAAACGACAGACTGAATCCTACTATCAGCGGCACATTTCGATTCACTATTAACCATCGCTCTGTGTGGCAGAGGACTACCCCGCTCGAACGGTGGAAGCGTCGCTCTGCGAAGACAACGAGAATGTTCAGTCAAAATGTTATGCCACTCGAATAAAACTTTCACTGTACAACCTCGTGTGGCACAAAAGACATTGAAATACCCCTACTATCAGCACTGATCGACGGAAAGGATCATTCATTTTTTTCCTCACCCACTAGATAGAAAATCAGGGAAAAAGAGACTGCTAAAAGAACTAGAAGTAATAAATGAGGTCCGGCAAAAAAAAAACTGAGTATCGATGAATAAATATGTGACAAATATCTCATCGAAAACTCCTTGACCACCGCTGAATGCACGACATGAGCTAGTTAAAGGGAACATTGAAGGAACGTGATGCACTCACTAGCAAAATTTTAAAGAGACCACCCACTCTTCATAGATATTTGAAACCTAGGGTGTGGGTAGCGAAGAAAGTGAACCCTGAAACCTAAACGCTGTTTTCATGCGCAATTGAACAAGGCTCTCATTTACTTATCTACTTTCTTTCAGAACAAAACTTGAGAATGAAATTCCTGCTTATTCAAATAGCGCCAAGCTGACGCATTCTTGATGGGAGCTTCCACTAAGCGAAGCCTAATATACCAAAAGCTGTCTCCGCACGGCCATTCCATCACTAACGTCTACACCCTAACATAAATTTATCAGCTCTTATTTTAATACAAAGTCGTCAATTCAAGTTTCATCGAACTAAGCTAAATGGCAAGTGGCGCTGCTTACCACACGCGCGAAGCGGGGATCGAATCCTGGGTGTAAATCGTCCGGGCCAACCAAAGCCTTCCATGCCCCTGAGGACGTTAATTGGTGCACGACTTGGTGCAAGGCGTCCCAAAAAGAGATTTGATCAACGGCAAAAGCTTTTGAGCTTTTTTTATTACAAATTACGTCAAGTGCGCGGGCGCGGTGGCCTCGGTGGGCATCTAGTACGCGCAAACTTGCTTTCCTTCAGCTGTTTATTGTTTATTTATTGCCTCTAAACACTCATATATTAACTCGTCCATCACAATGGCACACAAGAGCCATACAGCGCGCAAATGATAGCGTAGCGACAGCACGCCCCAGCAAGACTGCATGCCTGAATCGGTACTATGGACTGTAGAGGTTTTCTCGATTGATGGGATTCCTTCCCTGCTCCTTCCCGTGATTTCGCTCGAAAAATAAATCCTACTCTCAAAATCTTTCACTAGCAATCGCTTTAATGTATTTGCTTTATAAATCAACCATTTGCTGTGCAAAAAGATTTTTTGTTTTTTTTCCTCATGTACTGAAGAGAATTTCTGCCGTAGAGTCGAAGCCTTGAAGTCCTCTGCGTCCCTTTAGCGCCCCCCGTCCCCCTCACTGCCCAGAGACTTCCAACATCGCAAATGGCCACTCCCAATAAGTAACTTTGGCGAATTGAAAAATGTAAGAAACTACCATGCCATTTGAATACACATCACAGATAATGGACAAAATAAATCGACCATTCGAAGGAAAAATCCTCAAACAAAAATAACTCGATTGTCAGATAGCTTCCATGAGCCAGATTCAACTCATTGTACCAGCAGCGCTACAGAAGAAAATTATTCGTTCATTTATAACCATAAGAACAACATTTCCATACGCTAAAAATGAGCACAGCAACGGTAATAACTCCTTAATAAAGTAAAAACGTCCTCATCAACGAATGTAAAATAGTCAAGTTCATATTGATTTTTGTTCAGCTTCAGTCACAACAGCTGTCATAGCTCATCCGCGAAAAATGACAGCTGTTTGGGAAAACCTATTGAAATCTAAACATACAGAAAAAACTGCTGAAGAATAAAAGCAACGTGCATGCACTAAACTGTTTTCACATTTCAAACCGCTCATTTGCTTTGATATCCTCTGTTACCAAGGCTAGACATGACATGATTGCCAAATCAGTGACATCACAAGCGGACCACGGAAATCCGATACCAATTGCTTTTTTGCCCTCTGCATTCTGATCTACTTAGGCCACTAGGTCTGCAATTACGCCATGTTCATCTGCAGGAAACAGAGGATTTCGCACAAACGCAAATCATTTCCCATTCACGTATATGCATTGGCAGGCCCAAAATGTGAAAACAAACAATAAAAAACGCTTCTCGAAAAACTACATCATAAATTTGTATTTTCTAGAATGTACAGTTTCAAACAAGATCTTGATAGGATCGCCTTGATTTATCCTTGTAGAAATAATCCGGTTCCTCATCCCAAAGGCCAAGATCGCGCTCACGCTGCAGCTCATCCTGCTTCTCGTAGTTGTGATGTATGAGCAGATACTTGATTCGTTTGCAAAGCTCATGCCATCTTCTCGGAGAATTCTGCTTCAACTTCTCATCGTACAAATTCCTGTAGTGAATCAATTTCACCAGTTCATTCGCACGATGCTGTCCAGGGAAGCCTCTCAGCCATTTTGGTGTGTGATACTGCAACAGAGCCGGATGAAGTTGGCCATCTCCCAACAGATCGATGTAGTCATTCTGACCAAATCGCGCCTGCGATTCTCTCCACGCGTCGCGGACTTTATACGGCGGTCGTGGGACCGGCACGCGACAGCCTGGTATACGCGGTAATGGATCGACGCCCGGACGATGGTAGCGGTAAAGGTAGCCCGCATCCGCTGGGAACGCCTTCGACTTCTCACGATCGTCCGTTACTCGCGGCACGGAGCTGCGATTGTGGAAAACCGCTTGTGCACTCGTTGCGACCGACGGTACAGTCAGCAGTGGTCGTCGTATTGCAAGCATAGCGCTGAAAAAAATGGATTCTACTGTATTCTCATGCAGACTGTGATGAAAATGAGAACTTCAGCAAACACATAGGTCATTGCGTGCAACCAGCCCTGCCTTTCACGAATGCTGCCGCGCGCGGTCGCGTCGCGACAAACGTAGTATTAATTAATCCATCATCAACCAGGTGTCAATTATAAGAACTAAACCCAAAACCATCGCTCAACAACAGCAAACCACATCAACTACCAATTGCCAGGGAGCAGATCTTCAACTATATGTGTAATGAAACTATGACAACAAATAACTACGCACAAAATACCGCGTATTCTGGTTGCGCCACGAACTCGTAACCCACACCCATTTGCGAACGCTTCGCGACCGCGCGCCTCATGCTCTTGTTTTGAAGCCGCTAATTCAGCACAAGTGGCCGCACCAAAAGCTGGGGAAGAAACAAACATATATAAAACAGTCGTAAGTCAGTGAAATATGAAATGGCTCATGAACCAATAAATCAATCAGTCGCGGGGTCGCGGAAAACCGAACGACATAATAAATATTCATTGAAGATTATTCACCTCAGCAAAAACAGAAATCATAAACAAGACTAAATTCACCAAAACAACTTCACATACAGCATCGCACAAATATTCAAAACTACTAACTCATGAAAGACATCCATGAGTTTTTACCCAAATACCACACCAACTGTCAACAACTGGGTAACATTTGGAACCCTTAGGTCTCAACGAAATACGATGACACAGGACATATATATAATTTAAAAACGACAAAACAGAGAAACGGCGTTCAAGGACGAAAAAGGAAACCGAAGAAATCAATCAAGGAGCTGGAATGGATTTTACTGGCTTTGAAAAAAATAAAAACAAACGCTGACTTCTCATAAGAAATGATATTTTTGTTATTCAAGATAAAGCATAGTGGGACAAAACTCTGACGGTCGGAAATCGAAGACGAAAAAGAGGGGCGAAAACGGACAAAATTTGAAGTAACTCCAATTCTTTACATTCGAAGCACGCTAACAAAGCATTGTACTTATCACTTCTAGTTCACATCTTCATATTATTGAAGCCCCACAAAAAGGTATTGTTTTAATAACATTCAAAAAAGAAACATATTCCGAACAGCTTATTTACACACCTTAGATTATTTGGAAACCTCAAATAGGAGAAAATTTTCAGAAAAAATCAATCCCAACATTTCAGATATCGTACTCGTCATCATCCTGCGCTGGTTGCGCTGCAAAAACTTGCTGTTCAGGAAGCAATTGTTGTACAGCCGCAGCTTGTGCCCGTAGCTGATCGGGATCCTGCTCCCGAGCCTGTTGGATTAACTGCTGTTGCATAAGGTACAGCTCCTCTTCAGGTATGCCGCATTTGTCCAATCTCGAATTCTTTCGCTTTAGACGTTTCTCAGCCGCAACCTCAACTAACACTCATAAAGCACAAAAACAAACCGATCAAGAAATCTCACAAGGTAAATGGGACTCGGACCAGTAGCGTCATCGACTAGAACGTAATAAAGGTCCGCGCAGTGTTCCTCTTAGAGCTTGCGCTCAATGGATAGGAAGGAACGACCCACGCAGCCAGTTACTCAGCAGCATACTAAGTGGTCCCAAGAATCCCCAATGAGATGGAGGACCAAGGCCAAGAGCGTCTCATTGAAAGGGGGGTGGGATAGGGGGATGTGGCGAACGCAAACAGGCCCAGGCAGGGCAGCGCGAGCACTGTGAGAGGACTGTCATATTCGGACATCCAGCGCAAGGAAAATCGTGCTTTGTGATTTTGGGAAGAGATGGATGGCCCGTATCGGTAGGGGTCTTGGGTCAACGCTATTGACAAGGCGATCGACTGACGGGTATAGGTAGGCTAGCAGTGACAAAAGAGGGGTACTTAGGGGAGGGGCGGTTTTAGGAGGAGATAGAGCGTCGGGGGGGTGGTGTGGGGGAGTAGGCGGGGCGGGTGGGGGCAGGGGGCTTGTGGGGGAAAGGGGGGTGGGGGATCAGGGGACGTTGTGCGGGTACTTTGCGTTCGGGGGAGAGGGAGGGTGGGAGATGTGAGCGAATGCGTCGAAGTGCTGTGTTCCAGAGGTTAACCTTGGTTGTTACGGCAGTTTTATAAAAGAAATTTTAAAGTGCAGGTTTGGTGCGGGCAGGTAGATTAAAATAGCAGATGGGGAGTGGGGGCGTGTGATGTGCATAGTGGGGGGTTGAAGTTGTGGAAGGAGGCGGAGATGGGGTTTGGCTTGAGGCGCAGTTTGAAGAGAGGCCTGTGGGAACGGTCATATGGGGTGGGACCCCGGAAAGAAGTCGTAGTTTTGGAATCGGAGGTAGACCTCAGAGCGGCCAGGATATTTCTCATAGTAGTTGTGCGACCTGAATGATCCAAAGACCTTTCCCTAAGCCATTTTTTCAGCGCGCTCTTGGAAAATAGGTCAGCTGGTTCTGAGGTTTTGTAGAACATCGTTTTTTTATGAGTTCGCTGATGTGGGTCTAGGACGGACAAGTATGATACAAAAATGTGGCCATCTGGCGTGGAATGGAACCATGGCAGGGATGGCACCTGGGAATTTTCAAGATTTTTTTTAGGAAACTTGCGATTTGTTTGCCGTTTTATGACAGAAGAGTGATGGCGCTACAAAATAAATCAAAACAGAAAACAAGTGTAATTTGATCCGCTTAGAGCTATTACAGTCGCAGTCCCCCCCCCCTTTCCAACACAACATTCTGCAACCGAATTGGAGGGTTTATTCCAGAGGGAAAAGAAGCAATCCATACTACGAGATATAGTTCTATACATCTTTTGGGCGCATTTTTCAAGGAATCTTCTGTATTTTCAAAAACCCAGGTGACTTCGTTTTTGCATTCGCTGGTCGCCGGCAAAAGTTCTGTCGTTTTGAAATTGTACTTCCAAAAGAGGGTCGGAATGCAAACAGCGTTTCACAATGATCCGCTTCGATAAAAAGTGCGTAAATGTACACACTCTTTGATCGTAAAATTATTCAAAAAGTTGCCCTTTTGAAGAAGTAAACACAGAAGTAAAGCGTAAACCTCGAGAATCGCAAACGGATTTAATGGATCCGTGCTCATAAAGAACACCCCGTAAAAAACGCTGGCTCAAATGGCAAACATGACCAAAGAAGAGGAGCGGGGTAAGGGAGTGAAAAAAAGCCTCTTGCCATGAACATAGTAATTACATATCGCCCTGGTCTCATTGCTGCTTCCGAGTGGACGGCACAGAGTGAACCTTACGTTTCCAATTTCAACGATAGTCAAGTAATCGCTGAAATAATCAACCTGAACACACTTATCAGTACGAGCGTTGGCTGGTTCTCACAAAACCGGGGAGCGTGACATCTACAGGGATAAAGGGATAGGGACAAAGCCTCGCTGTGGACCATTCTTTGTGAGACATCGCAAAGCTATGGAAACTATCAAGATGCTCAAATCAATGTTAGCCGCATTGCAGTGTTGGGTATGGCATGATCATCTCTTGCTCTAAGCTATGTTACCATTTTGAGCACGACCTCACCTCAGATGGATGCCCACAACTATTACAGTAACCATTCCCGCCGCCTAATCCTACACCTATTTTCTAATGGAGTATTCAAGTTCTCGAAGAACCTCCAACTAAACCTCAACAATGTTTTATTGCGCGTGAAAGAAGCAACCGTAACAAGGTCAAGGCAAAATAAGTGTTTAGGCGGCCAGTCTCGTGTACTCAGTCAGAATGAGCCGAACTGACAAAAAAAAACAAGGACTGTCGGTTAGGCCACCACGTCTATCAGGGAGATCCCAAAATATTCCCTTAGCGTCTCCAGTGCAATGCTTTAATAAGCTAACCTTACACTCGCCGAGCACGCTGTCGGCAGCCTCTGCATAATCTGGTGGAAACTGTAGGTAGCAGCTGTAACGCCTTCAGCACATGTTCATGGTAGATAGTCTTCCGTTGATCGTTTCCACTAACATGTTGGGCTCCTCTTGCCACATACTTCACGAATTCTACACAACATGCGGCGAACAGTTCACGTGATTCATTTGCGATTCGCATTTCCGGCAGTACTTCTTTGATGATCATACTGATACCCTTTGCGGGTAGTCCAACTTCATTCTCATCCTCCATTCTTTAGTCTGCTATCCACGCTCACAAATCGCTCTATAAGGAAAGAGTACTCCTTAACAAGTAATGACTATAAAGGCATTATCTCGGCAGAAATTAGCAGGGGAACTATAAGGCTTCAACACTTCAGCTTTCCCTTACTTACAAGGCATACTTTGAAGTGAGCATCAATTCGCGTGTGAACAACTAATGGCCTCACATGTGCGCGTTGATAAAGCCATCAAAGCGCCAAGTTGGCCTTGTCTAAGTTAGAAGACTTCCCGAAGGGCATCCACATGCTATCATCAATGCCGAGATAACACCTTACAACTGACTCTTCGACCTTCAATAAAAAGAAAATGAGAAAAATTGTAAGTAGAAATAAAAGTAACGAAATATGCAAAATGCCTCCGCGCCGAACTTTTTATACGCATTGCTGTATTTCTATTTTAAGACTTTGTGTTCCTGTCAAATCACTGCAGGAGTTTCTAATAAAACGAAATATATGTAGTATTGCTAGTAATCACGAGAAGGTCAATGTATTGCAGAAAAAAAAATAAAATGACTAAAATTTCAGGAGAAGATAAAAACCACGCGCGGAGAACCATTTAGGAAGATGCACAGACGACGGCCTAAACGGAAGTAGAAAATTGATGATAATAAAGCTCCAGAAAAAACGAAGCTGACGAGTTTATATGGTATGACGAACATTCACGACGCTTGAGATCACGATATGAATCTTGAAAAAAAACCGATCGGCAAATTCTGTTAAGTAAATTATCGCTCAATAAGCGGTAGGCGCAACCAAATGAAAACACAGCCTGACAGAATGCGACCTAGCAGCGTTGAAAGCGAAACTTGGGCGCGATGTGGAGCGGACTAGATTTGGTGATGATGGTAGCAAGCGCGCTATTGATGGGATAACGAAACGGATACGCATGCCCTCTATATGAAACCTAGCCGATTACGAGAAAAATCCTAATGGATATAGCAAAGCCTTCAAAATTGAACGGGAAGTTAGGTACGATAATGCCCAAAAACAAAAAAAAACTTTTGTTTGCCTGGAACAATATCCCTACCATTCACTCCCAATTCTCGACATTACCTCGTTTCACTTTCATTCTTCAGGTATAGAGATAAGATGAAATGAAGCTCTGTGGTGTAATGAAAAGTTAACCGCCATGAATGCAGGAGTTCCGGCCGAGGCAAACCACTTCGCCCTACTCTCCATTCGTGTTATAAATTTTTATCTGTGACCCTTTCCCACCTTCAGTATGATGGCAAAAGAATTGGCGCAAGGATAAGAACACTCAATTCTACCTAGCCGTTCCCACTCAATAGCGGCATAGGCATGGATGAAGTCGGCCTCCTGTGTCGAGGAGGAATCTTAAGTGAGGTGAAGCACTCTGTGAAAGCCCCAGCTCAATCGTAACCTTCAAGTGAAGACCAAAACTCATCACCCCAACAATTACCTTCTACAGTACCTTGATTTATCTACATTTGGCATTCAAAATATGATTTGAAGCCAGAGATACCGACAAAGCAGGAATATGAGCCAGGGTGTGAAAAGAGATAGCGAGTTTCTGCGAAACAAAAAGACACTATGGCGGAAGTGAGGCGTCCTGACCTTGAATTAGGTCATCCCGTCAGCATATATCGGAAAAATAACCTCTGCATCGAGAGCTACACCTAGCAGGTTCATCAATAGGAATATTAGCCAGAGGGCTCAAGAAACCTCCGTTCGACTCCAGCTCTTGCCCGGGAAAGGGCTTCCTACAACTAATTGCTAAACTTAAAAATAAGAACTTTTTAAAGATGCAAAATAGCTCGCTTATTTCAGCACCCTGTATGGAGAGTTTCAAAATGTAGCGGTCATGGTAGGCTCTTTCAGCTTGAGAGCGCAGACGGAAGCAGAAGTGAAGCATCTCCACGAGTTATGCCCTTCCAGGGATTTGCAACCGTATAGCTGCAGGTTTGATACTTTTTTGCCACCCGCAGCTAACGATGGGTTCTTCAGCATCCTAGTCCTGATGCTACACCAGAGCTAGACGAAGACAAGTTTCTCCACAACACTCTCCTGCTGCAGACGGAACAGCCTCGCATAAACACACGGTGGTAGAACACTTTCACGCAGCTCATGGACTCGTAAACTAAGCTGACAAAGGCGATTGTGAGACCGCACAAGAATGCGTCGTCACATTGGACTGAAAATCGAACAACTCTTGTAGAATGCGACGCGACTTCTTCTGGAGTGAAGAGAAAGGAATTGATAATTACACCGCCAGCGGAACTGAACGCTGGCTGTGTAATGAAGAATGGAAAATGCAACGCAACATGACCATGAAAACTAGATAAATCGTACACCGTTTACGGACTGGCTGCAATGCGCAATTGCTTCAAACAATCCAATTGAATTTTGCTTAGCATGGCTACGAGCAAGATAGAAAAAAACTTCACGAAATTCCAAAATTCCCACAGAAAAGTAAGTGATAGTAATAAAGTAGAAAAGGTAAAAGTAAAAACCAATAGCTTAGCCTAGAATCTATCCGAAAAACAGTCATGAAGTACAGACGAAAGTAAGGGTGCGTGATGGTTATTTGTTCTCATTAAATATTTATTTTCGACCGATGCTGTAGTACAAAATGGTATTCCGAAATGCAGCGTCGGTTCGCGAAAAAATTGGTGAGCTGTTTCTCACTTCTTACTAATTCGCTTTGAAACACCATGTGTTATACTACTCAATCACGAGAGAGAAAAGCCAACACTTTGAAACATAAATTGCATTAAAGGATATTAATGCAGGAGGCTGAAGAAGCTGCGGCCTCGTCGAAAAAATCAAACCCACAATCGGGGTCATTAACGTCCTGACGCGCGGATGACTTTACTCGCAATGGGATTGAAAATTGGAAATGTGTCCACTGTGCTTGACGATGTACGACGGAACCACCATATCAACAGAATGAGAGATGAATTGGGGAGTGAAATGCAGCTACTGCAATTGACGAAACCAAAAAATCTCAGTATTCATCACATGTGCTGATCAATTGTCTTTCGCATAAAAAAGAATACTTGTCTGAGTTTTTCTAAGATTATAGGACATCTAAATTCTGTTGATGTGTGATGGAATCAGGAAGTAAGTAGGAATGCCTAGGCCAAATGGAATGAAGGCAAGTCAGGGGAATGGGGGAGCTGCCTAAGCCATTTTTTGGGTGGACAAATTTGAGCAGATTATTGGCCTGGTTTCGTGGTCTTATGAAGGAGGCGCAAAGCGAAAGAATTGAAAGTGTCGAGCAGATGATTCCAACAGCTGCGAACGGGAATCCAGCGACGAATGCGAGCGACTCATTCCACGCAGAGATGAAACCAGTTCATCCAATTATATCCGTCAGTAAACAAGCAGGGGCGGGAAATGATAACAGATCGAATCGGAGGATTAAAACACCCTTTTGTGCGCAAACTGCCACTAGAGGCCATTGAAGATCACAGTCACGTCACATTTTGATGCCACTACAATTCTGAATGGAAGTTTTATAGCATGTGCGGGGCATCCTAAAACGGGAATGAGCAATGCCGAATATGTCATTCTTCACCTTCCCATCAAAGCCATTCCGTGAGATCAAAAAATGTAGTTAGCATTCTAATTACGAAATAGCAAAAGAGCTCAGTCATCATTCCTGCTCCCTCAACCATCATTCACACTGTAATCAAAGCAACAACCCCAGAAGAGGTCATGTAGAAGAATATGTTCTGTATTTGGGGTGTAGTAGCCCACGAGTATAAGGACGTCGTTCTCTATGGAGTGGAGCTGGGATTCTCCGCTGTGAAATTGAGAAACTGGCTTTATTTCCTATCGAATCACACCTGAAGTGGAGCCGCAAAGTAGGCAAGTTCAGAAACTCGCTCGGACCCACCCTTTCTAATTTCAAGAGGAAGTAAGGGAGTACTTGTTGACGCTCATCGCGGTTCTGTTTTTCTTTTTAGGTGCAGTTCGGGCATGGCAGAAATTCATTATTTGACCAGTTGTTACCCCACAACTTGATCCGGGATTGTTGCTTTTCGTGAAAAGGTCACGGCACTTCGCTCCATGTTGCTTACACTAACAGAATAAAAAAGTAATAAAAATAAAGGTAGTATACTCGGGCGAACACAGGATACCAAGCCAAAACGGATGGCCCCAAACCGGCCCTCATGATCCTCCCAGATTACTTGCCGATTTCTCTTTGAAATGACTGTGGTAGACTCCTGCTACTAACAGTTACGAAAGGCGCTACTATGTAGGAACTGTCGCCGTATGAAGTGAGTGGATTTCAGGTTTAATTCCCAAGCCTCGTCATAGTCATAAACGACTTATCTTCTACTTTGATTGTATGTAGCCCAACTCAGGACTCACCAAGCAACTTATCAGAACTTTGAATACTTAAAAAAATGACCTAAATGTCTCTAATTCCATTGGTCCAACCTAACACGACACCCCGCTACAGTACTTATTTCACAAAACAATTTCAACCGTCAGACTGGTGTCACAGTTCGCGATCCGTCGTGCGCTGAATCACAGAAATCAAACTGCCTCGAACAATACTCGACATATACAGGCTGCTCTCAATTCCGCGCCATTTCTGCTTTGTCTTAGCTTGTTTCTGCGCGCGGTGGTTCAAATGTTCAAAAATGCGGAACACTGTCGCGCTTTTGTAATTCGGGGCGCGACAGATCGGGACTCTGACACCACCTTTCCAGTGAGCGGAGAACAATTTTGCATATTGGAATAAAGAGAATATTTATTGTATCATTAAGTATAAGGGGATGAGACGCACTGTACTAGTGTGTTCCTCCGAAGAATGCCACAAACGCCAGAGAAATTAGACCTTGAATATATAGGACATTGGAGAAACAATAAAAGAGGTTTTAACCCACAGGACGCAAATATCTGTGGACCAAACCACGAGCACATTCCAGGACATAATGGATCACAACTTTATTGTTTCCCTCAAATGAGTAATAATTTTGATATGCTTCAAATATTCGCTGAATGTTTCAAGCTAATCGATCCCTATCACCTCAATGGCACATATCACCTCTCGACCATTACAATTAGATTTTTACTATTCTCTAACGATGGACAACAACCAATCAGAAATTGAAAATAATAAACTTTGGCACCACAGAAATGTTTGAAACAAAGACGAGTACGCTAATGTTGTTTCCAATAAACCACCACACCTCCCAATTGCTAGCGATATGGAAGAAACAACGTAAGATGTTGAACAATTTAGAATTCAGATGCGAATCACAGGCGGTTTCTTAAAACTTCTATGCTATGTCTATGAGGTCAAGTTCGACATTCTATTTACGACTTTTCTGAGAAATGAGACTGAAACTTCAGGTTACCACAGTTAGATGATATACAAAGAACAATCAACAACAGATTTCCAAAAAAGAGGATCAAAAAGGGTTTTTTTGGTGGGGGTAGCCACTCATGCTAAGATATTGGGAGAGGATTGGTGTTTGAGCCAGAGACATTTTTCTAGAGGTCACTAATGCATTCTGATTGGGCCAACAGTGAGCACTAGGCTGAACTATGGCACTTTTAGGTAACACCTGGTCCATTGATAGTGCTGCTATATCGCTGTTCATGAAGGCGTCAAATCAGCCTTGGGACGTTGACAATTATTGGGGCATTTCACTAAAATTGTGGATATTAGTGACCAAATTATGTGCTATAGGTGCAGGCTAGTACTGCGAAAAACAATTTGATAGACACGTGGATTTGGCTAGACAGCTAACGAATGGCCAGCTGACACGCAGGCGACGCGAGTATTATTACACGAATAGCCGCAGGGTTTCGTGTGGTAGTTGCTGTTTTTGCCGCATATCACTTGCGCAATGTTTCACAGAATGCTGGCTTTTCCACGAACTTGCGCTAGGTGGTGTAGGTCAGGGCGCACGCATAGTCGGTCGTCCGACAGCAACGATCGCAACTGTCTGACTGTCTAACTGCATCTAATCGTCGAATACTCAGGCAAGTCCGACGATCGATACGCATCCAATGCTGTGCGACAGTTACGATCGTTGCTGTCGTCCGACCGACTATGCGTGCGCCCTCGGTGAGCAAGAAGGGCGGGTTCGAGTCCCGTCTCGGATAAAAGTTCTGTTCACAACCCAGCATTCTTGTGAAACAAATGGCAGTTGTTTTCGCCCAACTGCAATGACCCTTCAAGGACTCAGACAAATATCAAGCTCATAATGAGGGCCAAGTATGGTGATAAGTCAATTTTTCAGACACGCCTCCTCCTGGTGTCTACGAAGAACACAAGAACTATTATCACTACGGTCGGATAGGTTCCACGGTAACCACGTTTCACGAAGCGCGCAATTCGTCTGGGGTAGGGTACGGAATTCCTTTTCTGTATAAGCCTGGAGCAGATTAATGTCTATTTCCCTGACCACACAGCCCTCCAAAATTCTCGCAGCCTTCGCCTCGCCGCATGCGCGACAAGGCGAACACTATGCGCGCTCCGTCTATTTTCAAACCACAACATTCTCAACCCGTCAATGGAACCTCTTCATGAACATCGCCAGCGACACACGCCAGACAGTCCCACTGAATCAACAGCACGAATCCTCAAGAAGAGATAAAAATGAAACAGACCTGTACACATCTTCGAACATATCATGATAGTGAGACCACTTCTCCTTTCTCAGCATCACCGAACGCCTTCAGAATCCGCTTACGACACTGAAGCACGAGATTATTCTAGGAAAAAGAATTTCAAAAGTCACTATAAGTAAAAACAAACATCTTTCTGCCAATTTTTCTCTTCCTCGTCATTCCACCAGCCTTTCTCTGTGATGTAGTGCTTGAACCGTTTGATAGGATGATCCTTATCGGTCCACTCTTGCACCTCTTCATGAGATCTAAAAAGTATCAAAACGATATAAATGTGCTAATTCGAATTTTAGAAGCTACCAAAAAAAAACCAAAAAAAAAAGCCGAAAAAAGAAAAGAATTCAGCAATTCTAAAAATTTCAGTGTCTTGATAGCACCAACCTGTAGACGGTAGAGTCATCACTGGTAGAATGATGACCTAACCTGTAGGTCATTGATTCTATCAGAACAGGCTTATTTTTGAGTGCGAGCTCTCGAGCCGCTTTCGTCGCGTTGTATACTGCGAACACGTCGTTTCCATCAACGCTTTAATTAAACAAACATGCATTTTTATTAATCAGCTCATAATCGCGAAATTATCATAAAGATTTACCGAATCGTGTGCAATCCATAGCCTGCTCCCTTGCCAGCGATGCCGTCGCCTCCGTATTGTTCCGATGTAGGTGTACTGATAGCGTAGCCATTGTTACGACAGAAGAATATAATTGGGCAGTCCTAAACAGCACTACTTTTAACATCTCACAGCTTCATCGATGCGTTGTTTTCCATGTGGGACGTGTATTCATGGCAAGCCAAGTTTCACATGGCGATGACATCGAAAAATTGAAGATGTGTGATTACTGACGCTCTTGATGCGATGTGATGCCACATGCATAGCTAAGTCCGCAATCACGACAGGCTCGGCCGTGATAAAGAGCATGCTGCATCAAGTAGGCATGCTGCACCAGCTGAAGCTGGGGGAACACTATCGGCACACGGACAGTCCATACTCTGAGTGTATCAAAGCCAAAGGGGCGCTTCAATAGTGAACTCGTGCGATTGCTACCGATAACTTCGTAGACAGTATGCATCCGAACGTATCTAGGGCGCACGCATAGTCGGTCGGACGACAGCAACGATCGTAACTGTCGCACAGCATTGGATGCGTATCGATCGTCGGACTTGCCTGAGTATTCGACGATTAGATGCAGTTAGACAGTCAGACAGTTGCGATCGTTGCTGTCGGACGACCGACTATGCGTGCGCCCTTAAAGTGCAACTTTCAGGAACGAATTTGAGGACGGTTATAAAGGAGCCCAGCGCAATCAGTTGTAGCACGGGCTAGAATCCTCGAGAAGAGTCCATACTAAGATATGGGACTAGACAGCTACAAAAAGATTTTTAAGGGCAGCTAAGAAAGCAACAGGTTTCATATGAATGGTGAAACCACAGCTTCATAGAAAAAAAAAACAGAAAAATCAATTACGAACAGAAATTAAAACTCTTACCAAAGTCGCTGCAAAATTGAAAGCCGCATGAGCGTCACCTTCCGATGCTGCACCATCACCGAAATATACCACAACAACACGATCATTGTTCGGCGTAAGTTTGTATGCATAAGCAGTTCCGACAGCCTGAAAACATTCTGGTTTGGTAGAGAAATTCGAATTATCAAAACAAAAACAACGAAAGATAAACAAACCTGAGGTAACTGAGTAGTGAGCGGACTAGAGATCGTTACAAAGTTATGTTCCACAGAACCATAGTGGACCGGCATTTGGCGTCCTTTTCCTGATGGAAGTGAAACGTGTGTTTAACTACTACACAAAACATTGGAAACATGGGAAAAACAAAAAAACTGGCGCTAAGAACCGTACAGCTTACCTATATCTTTGGAATTCCCGTAGCACTGGTGCATGAAATTCTCCAAAGGGAAATCTCTCCACATTAGAACACCAACTTCCCGATATTGTCCGTAAATGAGATCTTCAAATTTGAGTGCTGCAGCCGAACCGACATGTGAAGCCTAGATTCAGAAGAGTTGAAACTTTCCGTCTGTAGATTCCCTTACAATGAGCCATCCATACTTATCGTGGTCATAATCATACACGTTGCAAATGATCCTTTGCAAGAAATTCCACGAGCTCGTTTTGTTTTGTTAACAGGCGTTTTTCGCCAAATGTCACTTTGCTAATGTCATCACAAGTTGCTAAATCGCACATAGAACTGCTGATCAACAACTGTGAACAAATTATTGTGTAGTTAAGGTGGAATAGTCTCCATGGTTTTGAGGTTGCACAACTGTCCGGAAAGAACGAAATTCGAGTTCAAGTCCTATCCAGGATGAAATATTTTGTGTATTGCTCAACAACCTGAGAAAACTGGCGAGAATTGGACATGTTGCACTCGCAGAAAACAAAAATGGGGAAGTCGAGGGAGTAGATGAAATATGAAAATCTTGTCTATCAGAAGCGCGGCAATCTCAAGAGCGCGAAAATTTATATCACTAACAATATTCTCCTTGTAATCAGATCAAGTTCATTCTTCCTTTCAAACATCTCTCCGCAAATGGAAAGTCAATGTGAGCAGAGACAGGATTGTACCCTGCGGCCGCGAAGGCGAAAGCAACTACTGAGAACCAGCAAAACCGAAATAAGACTTTTAGCTCCCTTATTATATACCAGGACTGCTCCCACTAGAAACGCTGCACTCTGAAAAAGCTCAGTTCCCCCTAGTTTCTTTATTTGCTGACCAAGAGACTGCAGATTCACACTATAAAAAATATGTTAGCTACAGATTTTCAGAAAGAATTATCGCTAAAAACTCATAAAAAACTTGAAGTATCACTACCTCCTCTCCGAAGTTGGTCATGTAAAACGAGATACGACCTTGACGTTGAGAATCATACAAAACGCGATCCATGATGCTCAACTGAGTCATATCACGATAAATTTTCAAAGACATCTCCTAAAATAATGCTGTGAAATCCAAATGACGTCTACAACTGAAATTGTCCACTGAATAGATAAGTCATTAGAAAGTGGATAAATGAATCAATTGAGCAATAAACACAATCACGTATTAATTGCAATTCCCACTGACACAAAAAAAGCAAAAAGAGGTGCTGATGATCTCCCCACCTTGTCAAAATAGGATCACTTGATTTATCGATGATATTGCCCTCCATGTCGCTAACTCTATAAATGGGTATAGCTGGTGAAGCATCAGATCGATTGATCTCCATACTTCTCAGTAATACAGCCTAAACGACGCTGGCTATTTCATTTATACTTAAAATTAAATCAACGACAAAAAAGATAGATTAAAAAGTATAAGTTTAAAACTAACGAGATAAGAACTAACCTTACGGTGACCGAAATACTTCTCCCCGAATTCTTTCAAAGTGAATTCATCGCCTGTCTGCGAGCTAAGTAGTCTAAAACTAGACCGTGCCATCACTACACGGGCAACCGGTAATACTCGTGACAAACCGTAACTTATGTGAAGGCAATCAGATAAGTTCAAAACTGATAATCACTAAATGAGGCAGAAATAATCCAAAAACTACTCTGCAATGAAGAAAGAACGCTCTGTCCCAGAACCAATTAGGGAGATTGCTTCTAATGTACTAGTTTGATTTCCCTAGAGACACCCTTGCAGATATGGAGCGGATCACGCCTCTTCCTTGAAAGCACGAAAAACATTATTTGAGCAGTTTAACAGTAACAACTTGAAAAAAAAACAATATCAAGCATCACAAAATAACAGATCGTTCACTAAGTTGAAACAAAAACTGAGCCATTTCAAGGTAAATACCCTCTTTGAATCCAACGTAATCGGAATAATGCGTAACTATGCTTGCATCTGCAACGAGTCTATAGTATATATACAATCAGCCTCAAACTATAAACCGTCATTCTACACATTCACTTGACTAGAGATATGACAATCTAGCTAAAAAATTTCTTCCTCGACAGAAGTCTACAAAAAGTGAAGGACTTATCTGAAGGAAGCAAATGATAGTGAAGGCGTGAGGAAAACAATCTAGAGATGTCTACTAGTAAATTAATCAACAGTTGATAAACAAGTGCATAGACTCTAACAGCAGTTCAACAATATTGTAACGAGAACACAACGAAATCACGCTAGTCATTCAAAACCTATACCAGTAATAACGAAGTAAGTGTTTTACAAACGCTCGTACAAAATGCTTCCTCGAAATTGTGCTACATGAGAGAAGGAGAAGCAAGAGTAAAAATATAGTTCAATTATATTCCTTCCTTAACCTTAACGATAAATTTCACTAATTAGTACTAGTAGAAGCAGCAGGTGCCGCTGGCTCTTGCACCACTATAACTTTTGTGGGAGTAGAATCAGCGTAATGTAGAAGATCAAAGATCACTTCGATCACAATAAGAACGATAATCATCCATTCCAGTGTCGAGGCCTAAAAGAAGGATTACGTCATCTTGACCAGCTAACAATACCTTCAGACGAAGCTTTACGAGCATGAAAGACAGAATCCGCCCTACCCCTCACAGACTCAACGCGCTCGCTCTGGAAAGTGGGACATTTGGATACACTTCCGCCTATACAATTAATTTCAAGGGTTTTTCAACAGTATCCTGATCCTACCAGACCACTTAAATTCCTCGGGATCGAAACATTCATAAAAGGTTTGCATGAGAGGAATTCCTTGCTACATATCAAGCCAGCAAATCTACCAGAACACGCTAATACGCAACAATTCGAATGGAGACGTTGATGGCGCTCGTCTGAGGGATTGATGAGCAATGGGACGACACGTGTACGTGCTGATCTTGATAAGTAAATAGAGCGTAAGAGAAAAGTTAGATGGGAGACTTTAAGTAATCATTTCTGAAGAGGAGTTCGATCTATTACGAGATGGAGGGAAGACACATGAATACCTCGACGCCTCACTTCCCCACCCTTTTATTCCATCCCCAAATTTTAGACATGCCTGCAAGACAAAGTGCAAGCTGAACTAGCTTCGAAAAAGAGTGAGGCATTGGAGAACCAGGCACGAGTTGACTTCCTAACCGATCTTTTGACTGACCATAAGTCCGCACGCGACCCAACATTAAAACCGTCAGGATGGAAGGTACGTTAAAACCCTGCTGAATACCCCCAGTTAGCGAAACTTGATTTCTAGAACAAACTACAGCGAAGACCAGAGGACAGAAACATGGTGAAAAAACAAGCATTAAGAAAAATAAACGCACATGTCGTAGAGATAGCATATTATCCACCATCTTCACAAGCTCTTCGCAGTAATCCAAACGTCCATTCAAACCACTGAAAAGTTCTCAGTCATTAATCCGTGGTTGAGGCATTCGTATAATCACAGAAAGAGGAACTGGACTCAAAAGATTGGACTCAAAAGCTTGAAAAAAGAAGAAAAATTACAAAAAGAGGAGGAAAAGGCAAATCTGCAAATAGAATTATTATCTATCTAAATCCTGACCTTATTCGTCGTCCTAGTGTGAAAGTGTCGGGCTGCCATTAGGTAGTACTGTTCCACTTGCGAGCGATCCCAATAGAAGTCGCGGTTGAGTAAAGTACAATCAAGGTTGATAGAATGCCTAAAATTTCAAGGCTTTCAATAGCAGCTAATATCAATCCGAAACAATGGAGGAGGAATTTTTGCTCACTGAGTGCCAGCAAACTCTCCAGACTTCATGAGGGCTTCTTTGCGACTCCATGGAATAACACCTTGCTTCAGAGCCTAAACAAGACCAATACAGCTGATATATTCCGCATCGTACATATTCATTCAAACCTACTAGTAACACACCTTTGTAGTACCCGACAATGGCTCGGCGAGATCATTAAGCAAAGTCTCCCAAACTCCCACTTTGACTAAAAATAGGTTATTTCAAAATTCAGTTATAATTATCCTGAAAATGTGTATGTGATCAACCTGATGCAGCGAAGGCTTGACTTAATGAGAACCGCTCCAAAACGTTCTCAAATTTGCGATGATCACTGCCATGCTTTTCTGCGCTAAGTATGAAGCGATCATGTTTGATGATGGTTTCACCCCTGTAAAACTAGGTTTTAATGAATATGTACGCACCTCATTTCGAATTTCACATCTAATTATAAGAAACAGCTTTTAGAACGACTACCAGTCCAGTAATTTCCCATTCAAAAGATGACATTACGTATATAACTTCTTAAAGTTTAAACTCTAAAGTCATACCCTTCTAAAACTGCAAACGGCATCGTATCTTGTTCTTCCATCGTTACCGACGAATCATAAGGACCTTCCATGTAATGTTCCAAGTCACGTATTGCCTGAGCCCGCTGCAATTCATAAACAATACTTTGAAAGCAAGCCTCAATCTTTACCAGACATGCTGTGGATAAGAGGTTAATTGTGAAACAGACAAAACCATAAAGTAAACTCGATAATAACCAAATGCGAAATTTCACAAAATTACATTACATTTCGAAAGTCATAACTCACTAAAAAGGATTATTAGTACGTGAGACGTTAAAATCAAAATCACCTCTGCGTGAGTGACGTTCCAGAAAACGACCACCCCATCTTGGAATACGAAAATCTCATTGATCTGAGTTGGATTAATGGTATATTCCAACTTTTTTACGAGATGTATAGTATCTTCCGAATCTGCAAAAAAATGCTTGCTCACTGAATAACGGCTACTTATTGAATCAGCATATGATTTCAAGAAACTATTCTATGGAATGCATCTACAATCCTATGCAGATCATGTTACGCCCTCTTGTTACTATGGGCGTATTAAAAATACTGGTGCGAAAACACCAACATCAACATTTCACATTTAAGCATATCCACAAGCGCTTCGATTAAAATAGAGAACAGAAGAAATAAAGAATGACAACGAATATTGAAATCGACATACCATCATCAATATAGGACACCTCAAACATGTTGCTAATAGATGGATCTGTTGAAATTCCTTGGAGATCGAGGGATTCTGAGAGGGCTAACGCGACCTACTTCTTGTTCTCGTACCTGCAAAACGGCGAGGACGTTCGCAGTGTTCCTACTTGGTGTTCCAGTACGGAAATTATTCATAAACATTTCTTACTTGAGCTGTAAGTGGACGACGCTTTCTTTGTTGTTTTCTTAAATTGATAAGACCGCGTTCAAACTCCTGCTCCTTGCGTGTTTTCTCAACAGAACGCACTAAGCTGGAGTCATGAAGTTGTCGTACTCGGATAGTGCTACAAAACTACCTGATGACCATTTTACAGTGTTAGTTAGAAATAATATGCACGGTGGCTCGCATACCTCACTGGGCGTGTAGCGGATGCAGAAAACCGTGAGCAAGAAGGACGAGCGGCATACTGCATCAACAACGAGAAGGATCGCCTCAAGATCCCCATGTGTACCTAAATCAAAACAATTCGCGGTAGCAACTGGATTCGATTCATGTCCAAAATGGTACTTTACACTCGAAAATACAGTGACATTGGAACAAGAGAATAATTTTCAAAAATTTTACGAACCCAGCACTCAACAAAGGGCAAAACACAAGTCTATAATCTCTTACGTGAATGCTAAGGTAGGTGCTAGACTCGGTAATTCCATAATCAGCTCACGACTCTCTACGGGCGGGTGAACTTCCACTTTCCCATGCTCTCGAATCGCATTCTGATCAATAAGGCCTATGCAACTGCGAGCGCTATGCTGTCGCTAAAGCGATAAGGCAATCGCGGAGTCTGGCACCTACCAAACCATTCAGTTCTTTGAAAGCAGTTTTTGAGTCACGATTAGATTGCGATTTTAGGATCTTGTGACCTTTCGTAGATATATCAAAGGTGCGACGATCGGAAAATCGTATGGTGTAAATAGTTATTTCACAGTCCTGAGAACAAACTGCCCCGAAGTTCACACGCTTACCAGCTGGAGCCCTATACTCTACTTCCCAAACCCGAGTATGGGGGCCGCAAAACTAAAGGGTGAGATGTAGCTGGAAAAGCGTACACTTGTATAGCATTATGACCAAGCATTCCCAGGGAAATAAAGTAAGCAGAGATGCTGTGATAGCGGGCATGTGTGAGAGCTCCCAGACAGCACTACAAAACGCCGAATTTCCCATCCTCACAGTTGACACAAGTGTGAGACACACAAAAAACATATGCCGTGATCCGTGGCTAGTTAATCATCAAATTTTTGCCAGGGAATTCAGTTCACCCAGGCTATCTGAAATTATTCACTAATTTTGTGCTGCAACGAACATTCAAATGTGCAACACAGGGATTGAAACTAAATAGAAAAATGAACATAAAGAATAGTTGAAGGTTTCCAATCTCTGCTACGTGCCCATTTGACAAGTCTTAGACCACTGATCTTGCGGTACCGGCACTTCGATATGTTGTGATTATGATAGAATTCTCCACCTGCTCACAGAACCTGAGACTTTTCAATTACACCAAAAGGTGTTGGAGGGCATGTGTGTTGAGGCCAAATTAGTATTAACATACCAGCCTAGCGTGATGTTATAATTATAGACAGCACCCTTTTCTATTATTTAAGGGTCGACGGACTACATGAACTCAGTCCTTTAGACCCGCTTCTGAGCTTTCTCGCGGATCCCTCTTTTCTCCAAAGCTTAGTTTTAGGCTATTCGCCCGTTGGAAAAATCAAGTAGTCTGTAAACCTTATTTAAGACACCCCCGTTGTGCTCTTTTCCTGATAAGGTGATAACTATACACAAAACGACACAGCAGGGAGGATTTATCAAGAAAACCACGGTCCACTGGCATCTGGTAATCTATATGCTCACCTACATCCTGACTACTGATTTCTTTTCATCGAAAGTGCAAATTATAAGCACTCTAAACTGGCTAAACCAAATCTCGTCCGCATAGGGGATTGCGAAAAAAAAAACATAGCTATCTGACCAAGCCACACACAGAAACCCTCACAGTTACTATTAGGTCAAAAGCGCCCCGAGGGAAGTCTTCATTCTCACTCTGAGACATGAATGGACTGAATTTACGGACACCAGTGCAAAGAACTGACTGCACTTTGCAAACTGTATTATAACTTCAGTCCGGTACCATTCGTACCTAGTAAGTAGCTGCCCTCACCCCCCACCCCCTAGACTGCCTACACTCCCCCTGGCGCACAGGTTTCTCGATGTACGGGACCCCGTGAGCCAGGGGGTGTGAAGGCAGTCTAGGGGGTGGGGGGTGAGGGCAGCTACTTACTAGGTACGAATGGTACCGGACTGAAGTTATAATACATTCTCTTAGAAGACTTGGTATGAACAATTGTGAGTTCGTTGCAGAGGCAGAAGCAATACCAATTATCGAAGACAATTGGACAAATCAGCAATTTGTGAAGGGGGAGTCACACAACCCAAATAACTATGGAAAACAACCCATCAGTTTAGGAAACAAAACACAAATAACTGCAACAAAATAGAATAGTCAAAAAATTGCTACGACAACAATATGACTGGGATGGGATATAGCAGTTACACGTATACTCAATCCGATTTTAAACCAAAAACTAAGCAGAAAGATGCTTTATTCGTAAGTAAAAAAGCGCTGTGAACTTCCTTTGCAACATTAAATTTTATTGAAAGTCGGAAGTCTCATTGGAGCGCGCGATTTGCACTAGAGCATGAAATGTTGGGCGAACTACACAGGGGTGAACGCGTTGACACGATGATGCGATAGTTGCTGGTCGCTCGGTAGTCCATTTTCGCAAGGGCAGAAGTAATCTTGAGAGCGCGGGACTATTTGGCTTCGCTTTTACACTCCCCCCCCCCCGTTTTGATATAAGAGGGCGCTTCCTGCTAGGCGGCTCGCCGAATGCTGTACCGCATGTGCCCGTCTTTCGAAGTGGGAGAGACCCGAAATTCACTATATAGGCTGGCAGGAACAAAACGCTTACGTATACGTCACAGCACTCCAAAGATCACCAAAAGCGGCCCACGTGGAGTTGGAGAGGAGCGGGGTTGTGGGGGAGAGGGGCGTGCACCTGAATGCGCGCGGTGTTGATGGAGATAACACTAAACCTCATTCGAACAGCCCAGAGATTAGGAATACCCACATTTTTGAACCGTAAAATGAGAGGGGTGGCTACATGGCATGAGTAAGTCAGGTTACTTAAAGGTCGAATTCACGCTGGGAAGGCAACCCATTTCAAATTAACTCAGGGATGGTGATTGGTACACGAAAGAAGGAAGAACCATGAGAAACGGCCCAGAACCCGAGAAATGGGACCCCTTCCTTGCCCGTTGATTTGAGCATTGATGCGACTCTCATCGCTGTGCCCTCCTCAACATCACGCTCTCTCTGCTATCTAATCAATAGATCTGCGGCGAGTGATCAGCTGGTCGGTGGGCGGAGATCGCCAGACCCGCCAACTTTGAGGCATAATAGGTCGCCGAGGTCAAATTTTTCGATGCGAATTGCGCATCAGTTCGCACCCTCAGGAGGTCCGTGGGTTACTCAACTAGGTGAATTACTTCTTCCTCGACCTCCATTCTAATCGTAAAATCCTCCTTTAAAACTGAATACTCACTAGGTCTTCCGTTCTTTGCTTGCAGGTGGACGGCGCCCTAGTAAAAGTGAAAGTCGAGACGTCAACAGCTTGGCCAACAAGTGGCTACTTTTCGTAACTATTGTCGAAATGAGGGCACGAGTGATCGTTGAAAGTTAGTGCCGGCGCAATGGATAGAGAATGCTTTTGTGTGTACTTTAGAATAGTTAGTCCAGAGGTAATAAAAGAGTAGAGCCGTGGGGTTTCATCAGAGGCGATCAAGGCCACGTGGGCTAACCAGAAGGAGCTACGTGGGAGGAATGGAACTGTCAGGGAGGGACAACTGGGTAGAAACATGACTGACATGAAAGGCCACGTGCATATTAGTGGTGATAAAAGGGAGTGAAGGCATGGTGATGCTGGCCAGTTATGCGAGCCAACGAGACGTAGTGGAAGATCGACCTAACAGGTCTTGCAGATGAAGCTGCTTGCCGCCTACCGCCAACTCGCCGCAACTCCCGCCTCCACCTCGCCAGGGTCGAGCCAGTTCTTCAATTCGTCGGTAATACCTCTTACGGTATGCGAATCAACATTTTTGTGGAATGAGTTTCTTGATAGGGTGAGAGTGAAAAACAGTCAGAGTTTTCAATAAAGTCTCATTCGCTCTATGTTCTTTGAACAACACAAACCGACTAACTGGCGTGGTCAGCGAACGAGTACTATTTACACACGGAAGCAGGAGGCATTTACTACGGGTTCGTACAATGATGCCAAGAAGCAAAGGAGGTCCGCAGGAGAGACTGATGGATATCAACTTTTAATTCATTAGCTGGAGTGGCCTTACTCGAGGTTCTTGGGATTTTGCAACTAACCTAGCAGGAATGACGCTCACCTAGGTGAGCAGCAAGAGTTGGAGATCGAACAATTCCGGGCTCTGAAGAGGACGTAGTGTCGAAAGGTTGACAACCAATGAGGACTTCACAGCATCAAAAGAAACACAAAGTTATTCGAAAATTGCTTCATTTAGCCAGAAAGACTGAACATCGGATTTGATTAGCCTGTATTCTTTTCAGATACCACCTGTCCCATTTTTCTATACTTCTAACAGTCCGATGGGTACCTGTTATCTGAAAGCTCTCAGTCCATTCCTCACTCAGAGAAAGCTCAAGGAAGATGGAGCATGGTATATCCGAAATTAATAACATTTTCTCAGAATCATCGTTCGGCTTCACTTTTATTAGCGGTCAGGCTCCCTGTCTTCACTACCCTGCTCTACAGCAACAAGCGAGCCCTGAGCCGACGTTTTCGAGAGGTGTCATGAAGAAGTACCTGTGGAATCCACGACTTCAGAGGCCGTTGCAGCCAACGATATGAAAGGAAGTGGTAGCGAGACTTTATAAATTGTCAGTGTTGATGATAATAAAGATGGTGTTGTCATTGGTGTTGTTGTGTGGGATGGAAAGGGATGCTTGGAGTAGGTAGCACCTGACGGTCACTACGGGGGGATGTTAGGGTGTTGGCGGCTGGTTTAGGTCGATGGACAGAGGAAAATGGAGTCGACGTGCGAATGGTCAGGAAGATAAGGAAGGCGAAGATAGGATCACATGGGATATAAAGAGGACAGTATGTGACAATAAACAGTTCACACTCCAGTGTCTCTGACCGTCCTAATCTTTGCGACCACACGCTGAAACGACAGAGAGGTTGCGGTGAATGTGCACATAACGGTGCCATCACATTCGTAAGATTGCATTAAAATGACACCTCAACACTGATCCATATCGTTTGTTGGCGCTTGATCCTCTAGGAGGCTATCACTATCATTACAGCATTGGTTGCGAAATACCTGCGGACTCCCAGTTTTCTGTGCAGGTGGTGTTTCCCGTCG